GGTGGTTAGGTTAGATTCATAGTCGTTCGCCATCATTTTGTTTCGTTTTTTTTTTTGTCTAGCGTAATGATTGTCACACTCATTATTTCAAATTTTATTATGGAGCAAAGACATTTCAAATGTTCACGCACGAGCTCGTGAAAAAGCTGATGCATATCATGCATATCGCAAAGCTGGACTATAATTCAGTCAGTGAGTTTGACCATTGACATGGTAAGCAAGTTGCTCTTTGCTCTTTGCTTGTTCGGAGATAGGTACAGTGAATGAATGTGGCATATGTAGAAGTGAACTTATATTGCTCATTGATGCCTACATCTGATGGAAAATGGATGTTTCGTCATCTAAATCGTCTGTTTCTGCCTTTATTGTCCACTGAGGTATCTAGTGGAAGCAGACAGGGGGTGGGTGAGTGCGTTGGGAAATCTCAGTCGCTTCTATAGATATTTAGTGCCGATGCCCTCTCTGCAGTCTTCCTTTGTCTTCCTTTAGGATTGATTGAATCCACCCTAAAATGCATTATTTGTAATAAATAAACACACACAATAATAAATAAATTATTTGTAATAAGGAATAGGTAGACAGCAACAGTGATAATGGATGTAATTTATTAGATTGACATTGTGATGTATTTACGTCATATCTGAGACGAGTTATACCTAAGCCACTTGACTCCACAACACAGCTTTTTTACAGTGCCGAGATAACAATACCTAAGCTGACAGTTGTGGTGCTTATAAGATGAATGATAAAAACTTACGAGTGCATTTCGTACACGTATTTTCCCAACCGTAATGAGCAATAACAAATATTAGTGTTAGCTACTTGAAAGCAATTAAAAAGTTGCTTTTAATCCGCCTGCATAACATCAGTTGAAGTAGCCAATGAGTTTAGGCATTGAAATTGGTAGACCGAAAACTATTCGTGCTTGGCGCCCGCCTGAAATGGTAGTCCAAAAATCAGATTATTCGGCTTAGTAACTAGATGGGATATGGTATTTTTCTGTGTCGCTCGAATTAGTACGACTTACGAGAAGGAATGTGGCCGTACGAGTACGAAGGACACGGCTGCTCAGACAGGTCTGCATGGGTCTCTGACGACCTTTGGCGCACTGCTAGACTGAGGCATATACCTACTTCACTCTCTGCAGGGCAGGTCAGACTGGTGCACATTGTGCCCATACCGCCTTTACCCAGACAGGTGCTTTTAGGTTTGGAAAGACGTGTGGCAGAATGAGACGGACGTATGTAACAGACTGAGGCAGACACACCAATGAAATTGGGGCGTGGGAATGTCCTGTCTGATAAGAAGGGACAGACTTTCGGATCAGACGGGGACATACCTACCGGGACATACCTACCCGCCAACTATTGGGTATGCAGTACTCGTATCCTGTAGCTGAGTGCTGACAAAAGCTGTTGTTGACGGGTGTTATATAGTGACTGTTATCCGATTCAACTGCTCGCCCCAGCCCTAACACTAAATTGTGTCTGAATGTTTCAATAAAGTTATGTTTAAAGCGTTTGGATGATGCCCAGACAGGATGATGTCATGCTCCGTAAATTACCTGACCTCGTCCTCCAAAACCACTCGTCAATCGTAGCTTTTACAAGTGATACTGTCAGAAAAATCTGCACCTCAGGAAATTCCTGGCCAGACATTCTTCACCCACACGTAATGCAGTGACAAAAGAATCTACTAATGTGGGTGCACGCTGTCTGGATTTCTGTGTTTTACCTCATTGATGGACTTTGCGCCTATGATTGAAAGATCGATCGGAAATTCACATCGGGAATAAATAACAGCGATGGCATCTTTGACGACGGGTACGGTTTGCATTAGCAGCTTCACAGAGTGATGACCGAAGTGTGGGGGCGTTATGATGAGGTAAACGTTTATTTTTATGCCAATTATCCATAATTCGTAATTCGATGCATGTCGTCAACTAATGAAGTCGGTGATGAACGAATACTGGATGCTCCTGATCGATATATCCTGCAACTACATAAAGTTGCTATCTTGACTTTGAACGAGAGTGGCGCATTTGGGTTGATTTTTTTTTATTATGCAGTGAGCGCTAAGCAATGAAGAAATTTGACAAACTGTAGTTCCTGGGTTCGTGACGAAAGTCCATAGGCGCGGGAGCCGGGGGGGGGGGGGGCAGTGGGGGCAGCTTGCCCCCCAACTCTGGGGCCGTGGGGGCGATGCCCCCATAGCAGTTGAGACGGAATATCACACTTTTTTTGCAAATGTTTTCTTTTTTGTTGAAAAAGCCAAGGGATGAAAAATAAGTGGCCTAAAACCGGTGAGAAAACTAGATTTGGGGGCACCCGAGGTTGATCTCTATTATGGTGTGCCCCCAATCTGAACGTAACTAGTTCCCGCGCCCCTGCGAAAGTCTGACGATGCAAGTAGGTATTGGACAAGATTTTGAGCATTTTCCAAAAGACACATTTTTATTACATGTAGCACTGAATGTGGTCATGACAGGATCATGTTAAACATTATAATACCACTTAACATCTAACATCTTCTGAGAACAGATAATAGCCATGAAATTCATTCACTTTATAATTTATTTTGTGCATTCAAATGATGCATCATGACGGCCTTATTGATGATTCGGGGAATTTTTCATCAACTTATTGTGACTGACATCCCGATGAAGTCATATGAAGTTCCCAAGGGCTGTTAACTAACTTGCATGACCAACAAGAGATTTGCTTATCCATAAGGTACAGGCAAAGGGTATCTTGCGTCTCCGTTACAGACTGAAATCATGATTAAATGAGGGCTGGCCGAACCTGACGCCGTGAAAACGGAAATCAGGGTTGTCAGAGTCCCCTCATCCGCACCTATGACCTAAATAATAATGTAATTGCATTTCACTACTCAACCAGCCTTGCAACAGGCTGTAAATCACGTAATGCGCATGATATCTTTCCCAGCGCACAAGGCGCAGATCACACTGGCTGATGAGAAGGCAGTAGCTTTTCTTGATCGGCTGTTTGACAGCGGGCTTTCCCTCTGGGATTTTTCGCCGCCATCGAATAAGTGTCGAGTAAAGATGGGTGGAGTCGTCTGACGGGGGCTGCCTTTGGGTCGTATTTACCTTGATGCCCACCTCCGCCTATACAGCGGCGATGGGCGAGCCGGCGATAGCCATCACCAGTGACGTCACGGCCACAGCCAGGCGTCTGTCATTGGATAGCATTGGCGAGGCTCTGTCATAACAAATGCCTCAATGGAAATAAATAACCGGCCGCTGATCCTATCTGGCCCCAGCCGTCCAAAGGACGGCCACTCGGCCGGCGCCAGGGGTGCAATGAAACCTCGAGCCGCAGCACCGCTTTCGTGTTTCATAAGTGTATGTTTAGGAGCTTGAACCCCGATTATCTTGTCACTTTTAGAGCGGTGAAAGAGAACTAACTGTATTATATTCGGCTTAAAATAACTGGATGCTCGCCCATCAAAACTTTGAAGAGTACCATTCAACTCTTGCGGTAGCCGGCATATCTGGAAAGCCTGGGCAATAGGAACACCGGTGGTTTTGCGGCAGCACAAAACTGAGAAAAATTATACTTACTGCACCGTCTATCGGCAGTTGTCTGAGAATATTTCGAACAAAAGAAAATGGTTGAAAAGGGTCGCGACTTCAGACGATGAAGGGTAGAAGGCGACAAGGTTCAGACATCGCTACGGTCAATTAATTTCGTCCTTATTTCTATCATCACAATTCCTAATGATTATATCTGGCCGATGATACCAGTCGGGCAGTGCACAAGCTCGCTTTTAAGCATTCACTTTTATCCAATAAGGTCGCGTCGATGATCATTGGGATGGTCTTGGTCAATAGTCGTGGTAAAACTGGCGCACACAAACTGCCGTATAGACCGTATTGACCGTCTTAAAGAAACTGGGTCTGAAATATACGTTGTACGGTGTATTCTGCCGGCCGCGGCGTGCCACGTGAGATAACCTGAACTGATATTGGCCTGAAAGTCAATTTGCAAATTTGTTAATTGTTTGCAATTTTAGCCGTGCCTGCCGACACAGCCTATGAAAACCAACCCTGCATATTTTACGCCTTTTTTTGCAGTTGCATAATGCAATGCCGGCTGCTCGTTTTATGATGATGAAGGCAATGCATACTTCGCAACTAAAAGAACAACAAATATTTTGCGAGCTTTTGAGCATTCATCGTACCTGCGCCACACATCTCGACACCAATAATTGTATGAAACTCATCGCAGCTGCGCGCGTTTGAAGGTCCGTTTAGTCCACCGTATACGTGACTGCTGCCTGCAGCCATTTACCACGCCATTCCGACCGTCGCCCTCAGCAGCATCCCGTGTCAGGTGCAGCCACGCCCACACCCGACCCCGTCGCCGGCGGCCAGCACCGGGCGCACGTGACGTCCTGCACGCGGTGCACGTGACACCCTACACGTGGCGGCCGGTCCATTCATCCCGTCCGCCGCCGCCGTCTATTTTTGCGCGCGCCGCCGGCCGCCGTACGCGCCGCCGCGTTTCTCACGACTCTCGGCTTTCGGCCGGAAACGAGCGCGTCCGGTTCGCGCGGCGGCATCCGGCGCCGGGCGGGGGCGGGGGCGGGGGCGGCGGTGGCGCCACCTGCCCCTCGACCAGGAGCCGAGCGCTTTTCTCACGAGACGCATCCTGTCGAGAAGCAGCGGGGCGCGACAAGTGCTCCCCCGCCCCCGCCGGCTCGCGAGGGGCCGGCGAGAAGGGGACAACACGCGGGGACGGCGAGCGACGGAACGGACCGACTGAAATAGACGGGTCCTGTGCTAGCGGAGGGACGACCGATGCAACAGGACAACGTTGGGGATTTGGAGAGGTTACAAATTCATTCATTCATTTGCGTTTTTAATTGAATTGATTACTATATTTACGTTCATTCGAATACGACGTGAAACTGACGATTTCGCTTGGAATGCGATTCAACCTTCAACATATCCCGATCATTCCCACCAAAACAAGACAGTCAATATCGTCCTGTATTGATCACATGTCACTTCTATATAGAATTCTGGTTCATTTGACAACGAACAGCTCTGTGTAACAGCATAATTCACCGGCTCAACAGAAACACAACGACTAGATAGCAGCTCGAGGCGGCGCCACTGCCCGTCGCAGCGCGCCACTGGCCGTCCGACCGCAGCCCTCCCCCTCCCCACCGCCCGCCCCCCTTCCGCCAACCGCAGCGGCCGGAAGTCGGCCTCCGGGGTCACGGGGGTCACTGCGGAGGCAGGTGCCGGGTGACGGGGTCAGGGAGGGGCGCCGCGGCCAGCCTCCCGCCCGCAGGCACGACCAGTTGGAATCGTGGATAATCAAGACGCTGATAAAAATAAACGACATGACTCCTCTCATGCAAGCCCGTGCAAATAAATGCGCCACGGCGCCGCCGCTCGGCCCGCCTCGGCCGGCTCTGGCGACCGTGGTTCTTCTGACCTGTCGCGGCCCTCCCGCCTCGCCGGGCAGCCCGGACCGCGCGGCGCGCGCTACCCGTGCCATGCAGGCGCCAATGTGACTAGCAGCGACGCACGCGTGCGCAACGCGCCTCCTTGGCAATAAATTATCTGAAAACGACTTCCAGATCTTACAAAATAAATAACAACTCGGCCGGGCCGGCCGGCGCGCTCGGCTGTCGCGCAGTAGCACTGTTCAGACCGGTGCCCTGTCACCCTCCTAACCACTGTCGCGTCGCGCGCAGAGCCGCGGCGGGTCGGCCACGGCAGGTCGGTCGGCGCGGCGCGGCACCGGGCCGGCCGGCGGACCGGGCTCCGGCGGCCGTGGACACGTGCAGCCGTCACCGCGGCCATAGCAGGCCTGCGCCAGCCGGGCGGCGGCTCGCAGCGGCCAATAACAGGCCAGACATGGCACCAGCGCGGTCAGCAGCAGCAGCGTGGTCCAGCGCAGACAGCAGCCGGCGCCGCTCGGCGTGCACGAGCACGGCCGGTCGGCGGCCGCCGAGCCACTGTCGGACGCCGCGCAGTGGTACGCGGCCGCCTTCACACAGCACATGCACGAGGCGAAGTCGACGCACGTGTCGGCAGAGAGGAGACAGGTGCGTCCGCAGAGGAGCCGCTGCGGCAGCGGACGAGGCGTACGACACGCCTCACACCGACAGCGGCCGCACACGACACACACGATCGAGTCCTCGGTCGGCTCCGAGCCAGAATCACCACCCGCACTGGACTCCGCGCGGCTGGGCTTCTTCAACGGCCCGGGCTGCTCGCGAACCGGCCTTTTCTCCGCGCCGGGCTCTCGCAGACGGGCCTTGGCGGCCGACGCCTTTTCCGCGCTGTCCGCCCTGCCTGACACACCCCTCTGTCCATGCTGGCTGCGCTGGGACGCTCCCGGTCGGCCGCGCGCTGGAGTCGCCTCGTGGTCGCGTCGTTGGACGACGCACGGCGCCAGAGAGTAGAGGTTGGCAGCTCGCTCGGCGCCGGGCCGCGGCCGGTCGAGGGAGACGGCCGGTGTCGGCGGCGACGCCGACTGAGCGCGCCTGTGGACGGCCGGCGGCGCCGAGGACGGGTCCACTGTGCGGCCATGGAGCGCCATGGAGTCACATCGCCCTCACCGACTGAAACACAGAGAGACAGGCAGTCGTCAGTGACGGTGTCTGCCGGGTGGTAACGGAGCACGACGCCGGCTGGTCGCCGTCCTCCCGATACTGCGCCGTTCCTCCGCCGCTACGGCCAAATCTTTGATTGAAAGGTCATACATTACAAATATACAACGGAAACTGGATAGTTCAGTTTGCGTTCGGCCAACATTTCGAAAACGTGATCCCTGCAAACATTTCCAGGCGTCCAAACAAATCTTCCGGGTCTCGTCTGGGGCCCTATCGCTACATCAACCCGAGTGCCTGGCAACGAGCAGCACAGCACGCACACTGACACGCGAGCGGAAACGGGACAAACAGTGACACACACAGACAGACAGACAGACGGATAGGCGCGCACAAAACCGGTCCCTGTCACTGTTTCCGGTGGGCGGTGCAGCGGCCGCGGAGGGCGTCAAAACAGGACGACGGGCGCACACTGAACAGGCCTGCCCGGCCGGCCGGCCGGCAAAACACCGCTCTGAATGGGGAGCGGATAACACTCGGCATGCACGAGCCACTCGGGGGATTAGGGATTTACTCGGGACGCGGACCAAAATAGCAGCTACACGGCGCACATATCCCGGATCAGACCACAAGCCGGCGTCTGGGTGATTTCCGCGACCAGACGGCCCCGCGGCCGGCCGAGCCACTCGCTGTGTTTTGCAGCCTGGGTGCGGACTGCGGCCACAGTGCAGTGGTCGGTTCGGGCCGGCTAGCTCGGACCTCGCTCCGTGTCGGTTCGGGTCGAACGGTGCCAGGGCCAAGATGAACGCTCGCCGCCGCCGTGGCAGCAAACAGACAGTCGGGTGGGGCCGTCGCACCGTTTGATCCGACGCACATCAAACAAACAAACATGTGCGGCGACCAGGGGCGACAGGGCCCGCGGGCAACGCGGCAGGATGGTGCCCAGGGACCTGGAGAGTATTAGGTACCGTCACAGTTCTCTGAAATGAAACGCTTTGAAGATTTAAAATCAGTATGTTTTTTGAGTGATGGTTGAGAGGATAAACTTGTCCTGTTTGGATGAGGTCAATAGGGACATTTAGTCTGTCAAAACAACACGCGCTTCATCGACAATTCAGGTCCCATTGGACAATCGTCACCAAATCTCGCCTCTTATGTAACCAAAGGCAGGACATCCAATACTGATTGATCGAGCTTTTGCAGCATGAATAAGTATTCTTCCATTTATTGACCACAGTAGATGTAGTCTGTGTCTTAGTCATTGCGTGGTTCGAGCGATGATGGTGCGCGTCGTATTGCGAGCCAGGGTCTTATGGCGACGGTGAGTCGGCGGAGGGAGAAATTGATCAGCCTTTGTCTAGGGTTCAGAATGACGTGATATGACGTGATATGACGTGTACAGAGGTATGATCTAGGCTAATGTGGTGAAGCCGGGCAGTGCGCTCCGGGACACGAGCGGGTACGGGTGTGAATAGAGGCATCTGAGTGTACTGGACTTTTTGCATTACTACAAGCTATTTCGGCAACCATGTCACAGGAAAGCGCTGTGGCAAGTTCGGCGCTGGACATGCGGCTAATCCCCGAGTTCGATGGCGGTAACGCCTCTGTGGAAGAGTGGCTGGATAAGACGGAGCTCGTCTGTCAGCTGCGCGGAGTGTCCGACATTCAAACCGTCGTCCCCCTGCGGTTGACCGGCGGAGCCTTCAGCGTCTACCAGCAGCTGAAGCCCGAGGAGAAGCTGCAGTACTCTGCCGTCAAAGCTGCCCTGCTGCGGGCGTTCGCTGTGGATAAGTTCCAGGCGTACGAGGAGTTCACGGCGAGAAGACTTCGTGTCGGCGAGAGCGTCGACGTCTACCTGGCAGACCTGCGGCGGCTGGCCTCCCTGTTCGGCGGGCTCGGCGACACGGCGCTGATGTGCGGCTTCGTGGCCGGTCTCCCGGATGCGGCGAGGCATACCTTGAGGGCCGGCTGCCGCATGGAGAGCCTGACGCTGGCCGAGCTGGTGGAGCGGGCTCGGGCGCTGATGGCAGAGAATGCCGTCGCTGCAGCCGCTGCCGCCGCTGCGCCGGCCCGTTCCCGCCACACGCCGGCGTCATCACGGTGTTACCGCTGCGGTCGAGCCGGTCACTTCGCTCGTGACTGCCGGGCGGAGAGGAGAGCGGACATCATCTGTTTCCGGTGCGAGCAGCCAGGACACGCCGCGGCACGCTGCCCGGAACGGATGCCGGGAAACGCGTCAGGAGAGGCGGTGTCTGCGCCAACCTCCTCTCGGGCAGCCCAAGAGTAAGAGGCGCGCTACCGACGGTGCAGCTGCTGGTGAATGGGCAGCGCAGAGTGGCTGTTATCGACTCGGGCTGCAGCTGCACCATCATCCACGAGTCGTGCTGCGCGAGCTGGAGACGGTGCGGCGTGACTGTAATGGCCGTCAACGGGTCCCGGCTGCCAAGCAGCGGAGTAACGGAGGTGGCGGTTCAGCTGAAGAGCGGCGGGCCCGCGGTGACGCTCAGCGCCGTGGTAGTGCCGGACAAACCACTGGGCGTGGATATGCTGGTGGGGATGACCGGCATCGCGGCGCTGGGCGGGGTGACAGTGCGGGCGGCGGACGATGTGGTGTTCGGTGCCAGCGAGAGGCCCGACGTGGCCGTGCCGGGCCCGGGAGGGGTGCCGCCGCGATGCAGCGCCGTGACGCCCCCGGCGTTGACCGTGGAAGAGCGAGACTTCACGGTCACTTATGACGCGAAAAGTCAACACTGGACGGTGGCGTGGAAGTGGCGGAACGGGGCGGAGCCAGGGTGCCTGAGGAACGGTGTCCCCCAGTACGGCGTGCCGGCCGAGGCACGGCAGGAGTTTGATGCTGAACTCCGTACATGGATCGACAACGGCTGGCTGGAGCCGTACGACGAGACGGTGGACGGGCCGCCGCGCGGGCTGATCCCTCTCATGGCTGTTGAACAGCAGAACAAGACTAAAGTACGACCAGTCTTAGACTGCCGCGAGCTCAACAGCCATGTGGAGGCACACACGGCCGACGCTGACGTATGTGCCGACACGCTGAGGAAATGGCGGCGGCACGGGGCCAACGTCGCCGTCGTCGACCTGAAGAGGGCGTACTTGCAGCTCAGGACCGATCGTCGGCTGTGGCCGTTTCAGACAGTCGTGATTGATGGCCAAAGGTACGCTCTTACCCGTGTCGGATTCGGGCTCAACGTCGCGCCTCTCATCATGAAGGCGGTGGTGCGGACGGTGCTGCAACAGGACCCAGTGATGCAGGGCGCCGTCATACCGTACGTCGACGATCTGTGCGTCAATGAGGACGTGGTGAGCGCGGAGCGCGTGATCGCCCACTTCGCGAGCTATGGGCTCCAGTGTAAGCCGCCGGAGCGGGCTGCGGACGGAGCGCGGCTGCTGGGACTGCGTGTGGAGCCAGTCGGGGGTGGGCTGGCCTGGAGGCGTGACAACCCAGTCGGCTCACCGCCCGCGGCAATGACGCGGCGCTCCGTGTTTTCATGGTGTGGTCGTATCGTGGCGCACCTGCCGGTCTGCGGTTGGCTGAGACCAGCGACAGCGTGGCTGAAGCGTCGTGTCAACTCTCTCACACGCGGGTGGGATGACGTCACACACGACGCGGCCCTGCGGGAACAGCTGAAGCACGTGGCTGAGCGACTGGCGAGCGAGGACCCGGCCCGTGGGCAGTGGTGCGTGACTGGGCACCGCGCCGTACTGTGGACGGACGCCAGCTCGATAGCCGCCGGCGTCGTGCTGGAGAGCGAGGGAGGTGACGTCATCGAGGACGCGTGCTGGCTCCGCCGGGACGAGGCCACCCACATCAACATGGCGGAGCTCGACGCCGCCGTGCGGGGCATCAACCTGGCCCTGGCGTGGGACATGAAGACCATCGAGCTGAAGACGGACTCCGCCACTGTTCACCGGTGGGTCAGCGACGCTCTGAGCGGGCGCGCGAGACTGCGAACCAAGGCACATGGAGAGATGCTTATCCGCCGGCGGGTCGACGTCATCAGGCAGCTGGTCGCAGAGCTGGGCATTTCTCTCACCGTGTCTCTAGTCCGCTCGTCTCAGAACCGTTCGGACACGCTGACCCGAGTGCCGTCCCTGTGGTTGCGTCAGGACTCGCAGCCAGCGGACCAGCGGCCGAGCGATGGACAGCCAGTGGCAGCAGCGGCAGTGGTTGGATCGGAAGTGGGAGACGGCGGCGGCGCCGTTACCGTGGACTTCCGACAGGCCGTCACTGACGTACATGTCAGGGCGGGTCACCCGGGTGTCCGACGAACGCTGTATTTCGCGCGTCGGGATGTGTCATCGTCGATTTCCCGGAAAGTGGTCAGGGAAGTGGTGACGGCCTGTGACGTCTGCCGCGCGGTTGACCCGGCGCCGGTGACCTGGAGGCACGGGTCGCTGGCTGTGGAGGGGACGTGGGACCGGCTGGCCATCGATGTCACGCACTACGGTGGTCAGTCCTACTTGTCGGTGATAGACTGTGGCCCGTCACGGTTTTGTGTGTGGAGGCTGCTGCGGCGGTCGGACGCGGCGACAGTCACGAGTGAACTCGAACAAGTGTTCGCGGAGCGAGGCGCACCGGCTGAGCTTCTGGCGGACAACGACACCGCTTTCCGCAGTCGTCAGTTCGCCGCTTTCGCTGCCCGCTGGGGAGTGCTGCTGCGTTTCCGCGCAGTGCATCGCCCCAGCGGGAACTCCATCGTGGAGCGGAACCACCGCAGTGTCAAAGTGATCGCGGCGCGGAAGAAGTGTGGCATCGGAGAGGCCGTGCACCTGTACAATATCACGCCCCGTGACGGCGGGACGGCGGCTGAGGCGCCCGCCAACGGCATCTACCGCTACCCTGTGAGGGACGCCGTGAGACAAAGAGCTACCGCCGGAGCGTCCGAGGAGGCCGTGATAGGACGGCCGCCAGCCCGGCGGGAGGGCGACTTCCAGGTGGGGGACGCCGTGTGGGTGAGGCGGCCGGGCACCCGCTGCACCGAGCGGTCGGTTCG